AAAATCCAGAAAGCATGCCATGATAAATTTATATTTATTGTTGGTTTAAAATAATCAGGTATCATTTCCCAAAGTTTTTTCAGAGCAAAATTTATTTCATATCAATTTCGATATCAGATAGAGTACTACAATATTAATAACCTATGCATCAGTGAACAAGGGGCGCTAAATTATGGAGGGAGAAGAATGGCCTGATTTTGCCTTTTGGGGACACGGCTTAAACGACAGTTGATGAAGCGCCGTTCAATTCGAGAAGTCGAAATATGGGTATGCGTCGTTTAACACCGAGCTGGGTGATAAACGTAAGAGTTCAAAACCGAAACCCTCTCAATCTCGTACCCAGGCCTTCACTTCGGAAGTGTCGCTGACTCTACTTGGTCTCACTCACCTTATCTGCTTCTTTCGCAGCTACTGCCACTGACGGGACATGGCAAACGGAGGCTCTGCTGATAATGCCACTGAGTCACAACGAGAAGAAGCCAAGACAACTGACGGCAGCAAGCCTCAAATGCCCCCTTATCCTCTTCCGAAGACTCTGACAATGATTCGGACGCGGAGTCGGAGTCTTCCTATGACTCTTCCTACGAAGGAGATTATGAGGAAGGAAATGACGTTCGCGACGCTCTGGCCTACCGGCGATCCCGCGAGGAATTAGCCCAATTGGAGAACACTCCTGAGGCGAACTTCGAGCTGTTCTCGGAAGTCCTCGACAGCAAGCGATTGAAGAGCATGCACGAGGAGGAGGACAAAGAGATTTTGGCACAGTCTGACCCTTTTGATTTCCCCAAAGACCCAGAGAATTGGAGGGAAGAAGACTTGGGGGAGTTTTGGGCGGATGGTCCATTGGAAATTGGGGGAACGGGTTGGGACCCGGTTTGGGCAGATGAAGATGATTGGGAATACGTGCGGGAGGAGCTTGCTGCCGGAAGGAAACCACCCATTGCCCCATTTTATGTGCCATTCCGGAAGTACAATCCTGCGATACCCGATAACCATTTCGACATATCTACCCCCAAGGCCGTAATTGAAGAGTTGGATAGGATTGAGGAATTCCTCCAATGGGTCAGCTACATTTTTCCTGATGGCAGCTCGTATGTATAATTTTCACCTGTAACTTACCATTTACTGAGTATGTTGTGGAAGGTTTAGTGCATCAGGTCGGGAAGTGATTATCTGAATGTTTTAACTAAAAGCTGACTAGGAGTAGTCAGTTAGTTCCATCGTTTTTTCAAGTTGCAACTTGCATGCTTCATATAATTTCGAACTTAATATTAATGTTATTTATGAATTTAAAGTGGTAGATTTTACGTCTTCCGTTTGTTTTATGAATTTATTATTGATAAAACCGATTATCATCATGGAGCATTAACACTACACTTGCGTGCTAAGTCACATTACTGAATTTCTGTTTTTGTTCTAAACCTGTTTACACAGTAAGCTAAAGACGTTTTTGGAGACGTTGCATGTGTTCATATTTATAAGCTAATACTATCGATTGAAATTTTCTCTAATTGGGTTACTGTTATTAGTATGGTACCGTCAGAGTCGTTGAGTTATTTTGCTTTTATGACGTCAGCATTACCATATGACGCTTGACACTTGCTACATTTTATTTTCCCATGGTAAACTGGATGGGAGGTGACTATGTGATCAGTAGCATGCTATTACATTTAACAAACCTGTCAGCCTTTTTGGTCTGTCTCCATGAATTTCTGATTGCACTCGTTCGAAATGTTAGGGTTGTGTTAATTAATGCTTCTCAAATTCATGGGTTATATCATTACCTCTGATGCTATTTTGATACTCCCCCCCTCTTAACTTCCATATTTCTTAACCCAGAATATTCTTTTTCACCAAGGTATGAAGGCACTGTTTGGGATGATAATGCTCATGGAAAAGGTGTTTATGTTTCTCCAGAGGGGCTAGTCAGGTTTGTCTTTACTTCATTATGTCTGCTGTTCCATTTTGTATATTGAACAGCCTCGGTGTTGGTATGAGCCTAGCCATCATCCTGGCGAGAATGCTTCCAATCTCCTGGATTACTGTGAAAACATAGTATATAACTGTTGTTCTTATTGGCTATAACAGATTTTATGAAGTTATTATGCATAGCAAGATGCAATAAATATTTATCTTTCCTGAAGATATATCTTATCTTTCATTCGTATTTTATCATCCATAGGGTAAGGCTGATTGCCAATACATTCCACTTGTGTTTGTTCCAGCATGTTCTGGCTATCCCATTGGCTGTATCAGCTTATTATCCAATATCCATTAATCTATCCAAATATCTTCTGCCTTTTCATGTTGTTAACATTTCAGAATGCCTTTTCTATTCATAGGTATGAAGGCGAATGGCTCCAAAATGACATGGAGGGTCATGGCGTCATTGAAGTTGATATTCCTGATGTTGAACCTGCTCCTGGTTCCAAGTATGACACTAGCATCTAGACTTGTCAATAAGTTTCACGATGCATCACAGGTCGAATAAACCTATGAAATTATTTTATTTGATGGGAGCAACATTAAATTTATAAACAATGAAGCGGAGAGAAGGCTCACTCAACCATAAAGTGAGAGGGTTCCTACTTAATCTAAAAGACTTTGCTCTTAAAATAGGATTACTCTATCATATCAAAATTGAAAACTTAAACTAGCCTTGTCTTAATCAAAACAGAGCATTTTAGCTAATCCTAAATCCATGGAAGTATTGTTCAACCATTTAAAGAATTACTTAGACTAAGTGCGTTTAATTAAAAAAGCAATAAAAGAAAAGAAAACTTGTTAATTAAAATATATGCATAATAACATGTAATCTCCAACATCTTCCGCTTAGTAGGCATTTCCAACTTTGAGCTGTTCTTCTAGCATTGCCAATTGTCAGCAACAGCTTATTTTGGTTGATACTGTTGGCTGATTTTACTCATGTCCTTAGGCTTGAAGCGAAGATGCGTGCTGAAGGGAAGATTATATCAAGGGATTATATGTCCCCTGAAGACAGAGAATGGCTTGAGATGGATATTGAAGATAGTTATAATCTTGCTGATGGGACCTATGAAATTCCATTTTATGATAATGATGAATGGGTTGAACAATTTGGAAGAAAACCGTAAGTTTTATTAGTTAGCTCTTTGTTGCCTGTTGTTACTAAGCATTGTTTTCCCTCAGTTTTTAGAAAGAGCGATGTTGTAAGTTCTCACTGAGCATCACACTTCTGTGTGCCCCCTCTCTGAGTCATCCTTATCTTTTTATGCCAGGGAGAAAGGTCGTTATCGGTATGCTGGTCAATGGAAACATGGAAGAATGCATGGATGTGGTGTATATGAAGTCAATGAGCGTACGGTTTATGTAGGTGCCTAATATAGACAACATATGCACTCAAATTATTAAGTCAAATCTATCTCTTGGTCTTTCTTTTTGTTTGGCCACGGGGAGAGATATTCGGAATTTTTAGTTGCGAAATAAGTGCAGATATTGTACTTTTTGGAGAATTTTCTAGTTCCCTAAGGCTTGCTACATTTTTTTGCTTGCTAGTTACATTATCCATGTGCATGCAGGGAAGATTTTACTTTGGAGAAATGTTGGATGATTCTGAGGGCTGTGATGACGAAACTTCTGCGGTATTGAATAACTTGCCATTGTTTAGTTTCTTTCAGCTCGGCAAGGAAAATGTACTAGCTTTTTAACTACTAACTCTCCTCCATTCTGTACTTCCAGCTGCATGGTGGTATAGCAGAAGTGGCTGCTGCAAAGGCTCGCATGTTTGTCAACAAGCCTGATGGAAGTATGTTTGAAATCCCTCAAGTCTCTCATATTGAAAGCCTTGCGCACGCGCGCACTCAAATATTTTCTTCCCTTCCCTATTGGTTAGATTCCTAGTAGTTTTGTACTTTTATTGAATTAATGAAAGTCCTTCTGTTATCCTGAGCTTCATAGAACTTCTTTTGGTTTTAACATTCATAGGATCTTCTATTTTCCTGGGCGGTTTCATCTGGGTTTCAATAGTGTGTTCATCTAAAATTTTTTCACGTCATCTGCTTATGCTTGAATCAAACAAATTAACGTAGCATATGTTACCTTACGAGAGGATTACAATAGTGTTCTTGCCTCTTTGAGAATTCATGCTTCCCTAGCATAAGCTAATTGACACACTGAAAGAATATCACTTGTGGCTTTAGAAAGCTTGTAGTTGATTTACAATGCCCACAGTAGCTTGGACCATGCTTTCCCAGGACAGTTTAGTACACTTATTGCTCTTATTCATGCTTCCCAACCATAAGCTAATTGGCACACTGAAAGAGTATCACTCATGGCTTTAGAAAGCTTGGATTTGATTTACAATGCCCACAGTAGCTTAGACCATGCTTTCCCAGGACAGTTTAGTACACTTATTGTTCTTTTTCTTTCCAAATTTCTGACTTGACTGATAAAATAGATCAGCTGACCAATTGAAATTCACACAACAAGGTTTTTAATTCCTATGAATTACATGTACCACCTAGTAATAAAATTTCCTTTCTTCTCCTTTTTCGTTTAAACAATTTTCATTTTCTGATCATATTGATGTGGTTCAAATTTTGTATCTGCTTTTTCAACAGCATCTTTGCTTATTATTTGTTAATTATCTTTCAACGTTTGTCCACTCAGTGGTTAGAGAAGAGAGGGGTCCATATAGTGATCCTCAACACCCCTACTTCTATGAAGAAGACGATGTGTGGATGGCACCAGGCTTCATCAACCAGTTCTATGAAGTAAGATTGGGCAGCATTCAATCTTCTTTACTCTCTGTTTTTCCATTATATGCGTGAAAATGAGACACAGACGTAATTCTATGGCAGGTCCCTGATTATTGGAAGACATATGTGCATGAAGTAGATCAGGAAAGGGAAATGTGGTTGAACTCCTTCTACAAGGCTCCACTTAGGATACCCATGCCAGCTGAACTTGAATACTGGTGGTCAAAAGGTGCTGATTCTCTCTGTGCGCAAACGAGTGTGTAGTATGCATATATGACTATTTTTATCCATTGTCCCTTGTTGATGCTGATTTTTCTTCCCTCTAGCATATTCTCTGCCAACAAGAAACATTTCCTTTAATTCATCCCTTAATTTCTTGATCAGATGAGACTCCTGAGTTTATCCTTATTAACAAGGAACCTGAGCCTGATCCTGAAGATCCATCAAAGCTCATATATACTGAGGATCCTCTCATCCTTCACACACCAACTGGACACCTAATTAATTATGTTGAAGATGAGGAACATGGAATACGTTTATTTTGGCAACCACCCTTAAACAAGGGTGAGGATGTGGACCCAGAGAAGGCCCACTTTCTTCCCCTTGGTTATGATGAGTTTTTTGGACGAGAGAAAAGGGATGGAAAGGATGGCATATTGATGCGTGTTGTGCTAGCAGCGGAAAATGCTTTGAAGCCATTATTTAATAATTTGGAGAAATGGACTGAAGAGCAGAAGAAAAATAGTGAAATGAAAAAGAAGGCATTGGAGAAAGAACTTGAACTGGTAGAAGCTGAGTTGTCTCTGGAAGAGGCAGTTGCAGATTTGGATGAATTGTTGAGAAGAAGAGAGGAAGAGGAGGAAAAAAAGGTGGAAATGGGTTTGCTAGAAGAAGAAGAAGAAGACACTGCTGAAACCAATCAAGATGGAGAAGCTCGCATAGCAGAGGAGGAAGTGAAAGAGGAGGAGGAAGAAGATGGAGACGGAGACGAAGATGAGGATGAGGATGATGTTGCACAATCAAGCTTCGGCTCCATTGAACAGGAACAGTCAAGAGATAGCCAGAAGGGTAGCAAACCTGGGAAATCACCATTTTCTACATCTTCACTCTTTTTCGCATCTAATAGCCTTGTTTCAGGGGTGAGTTATGACTTCCTACTTTTCATCTGATGCATGCTTCTCTGGAAACATGTGTGTGATTCAGTTAAGTTAATCTTGAGCAATGCTGCTTTTCTGAAACCTTGGGCCTTTCTCTGTTGACCTTGCAGGTTCCGTTCAGGATGCAAAGTCCCTTTTTCCTGTTGAAAAAGGGTAAATCAAAATCACAGTCGACTCCTCCTTTGTCTGCTGACGACTTCAGTAATGTGAGAACATTTGATTCAGTTAGTTTTCGTCCAGTTATTGGCCAGAAGAGAAGTTTGAAGGCTATTGGCCAAACACTTGGGAGGGTCAAGGTAAAAAGCCATTCAGATAGGAAATGTTTTAAAGTGCGTTCATTGTCTCGGACCCCATGCCATTCCCCGGATTCTTCGAGTTTTAGAAACAAGTTAGAAGAGACTGGAACGAGGAGGGGCATGTGGTTGCATACAGCACCAGGGAGGGATTTAGACAGTGTATTGTCTTTGCATACACCAGTGCATAGTTTGAAGCATATAGAGAGAGAGTGTGTTGGCGAATGGGATTCTTTTTATCCAAATATGCCAACTGTGAATCCAAGTATCTTCATTTTCAGTTGAATAAACTGGGGAAAGGAAAAGAAAGATGAGCATGAAAGGAATGAGGGGGATTATTCTTTTTTGTTTTTTTTTTACCGTCTTATTTTTGTCTGTAATGGTGAGGTTGAAAAATGAAAACTTTTTGTGAGATTTATGCCACTCGCTGCCGGAAAGGAATTTTCCATTAGAATTGTTGGATATTGTTTGCATTTCATTTTCACCACGTTTCACTTTCTTGAATTTCATATCAATAAACGATAAACCATAATCCAAACTGTAGCTGTAAAAGATAAATGACAATTGAATCATGGCTATTCTCGTTTTCTTTTCTTATTGTGACTGACATTGAAAGCCATTAATCAGCAATTTCAACAGCCGCCAGTACAGAAGATGCGCTTTACTCGTTAACATCATTGTTGCTGCATGTAGCTTGATGACCATCATAATTGACGGTTAGGAGGAAGGTCTGATAGAAAGGTCCACTGGTCCCCAAAAGGCCTAAGCGAAGGCTTGATAAGGTCAATTATGGCATACAGCCATACACAGCCCTACCATCCCGTCTTGTGGGAACTGTGCTCTTGATTCAGTGCATCTAATTTTCTTGAGATCAACGAGAACGACCTCTTTCAGTAATCCAAAACTCAAGAAAGTCACAAAAGAATTCCATAGTATGTTAGTATTCAATATATATCATCAATAATTTTTTGCCAGCATATAATCAAGATTGAGTGATTATTTTTGCAGTATGAATTATAATTTTGAAGATATATGCAGTAATTTCTTCCCATGATTTTTCTTTTTCTTTTTTCTTTTTTAAAGATCATGTTTTTTAACATTCTTAGTGGGTTTTTGAAGTATTATTTTTCTCCAAATAATATTGAAAAAATTATACTCAATTTTTTTTTTGGCCAGCCTACTTGATTACACATAGATCATAACTAAAGGAGGTTGTTCCCGTAATCGAATTTATAGAATAAACGATGGGACATCAATAAAATTTCAATACCATACCACGGTAATCCAGCAAGCGGCTCCTTAATCTGATGCAGCTAAAAAGTTAATTTTTAAAGAAAAATTAATTAATTACGTATGGATTACCGACCTTATCTTTACCCACTCCCAATAATGCTTTCCATTACATCATCAAGGATTGACTTCGTTATCTTACGCTCTTTCCGAGTCGTAGTGTAGATTCCAATTCCAAAATGGGACGCAAAGGAATATTTTTCAGGCAGTGGCTGTGGTGAAATCAGATATTTAGCGAATATTAATTAAGAAATCAACAACTAGTTAATTTTTTTTTTGAAAAAACAGAAAAAGAAAAGCATGATGGAGCGAAAGAGCGGTCTGATCAGAAGTCACCAACTGACATATGATTGAAAAATAAGGAATCTTTGGTGCCCCATTTGTTGATCTGAGTAAAGAAAGCCAAGAAACAAGCATCACATGATATCTTAATCCTAATAATTATCAAAGAAAGACCGCTAATGTGCCGATAGAATAATATCATATTTTTTTATATATTATAAAATCTCTTATTGATGAATGTGATTTAGTTTTAAATATAGGACTTAGATTCATTTTTGTCTCCTTTATTTAATATATATTTTTTGACATTGCCCTCATGAATTTTACAATTGTTTTCGTCTTTTTTCCCTTCATATTTAAACAAAAGTGTTTTAGAAAAAAGTGACATCATTTTACATAATAGTGATAAATTTTAATTAATTTATTTAATTTTCATAAATTATTTAGAAAAATCCCAAAAAAATAATTGTTGAATTTTAAATTCTAAATCGGTATTGATTACTACAATCGTAAGGAAAATGATTACACTTGAAAATTAAATAACATGTTTTTATAGTAATTCCTAACTTAAAATTTTGAAATTTAACAGTTATTTTTTAAAGATTTTTCCAATTATTTAGCTGAGTGTGTCACTGATGAATTGATGTGATCCATCTGTCCCTACCATGTTGTCTCATTCATGAAGCGTTCATCAGCCGGACCACTTGAATAAGACATAATCCTTCTTGTTTGTCTACATGGTTTCATCGTATTCACTTATCATTCAAATGATTTTAGGAATTAATTCTGATTTTTAACTCGAAATATTTAACAATGGCGACGCGTATTCCTCTTTCGTATGGTCTTTCACAGTGATCTGTTTTAAGGAAGTTTGGCTGCTTATTTGTTTCACGCGACCGTCAAGAAAGACGCAACCTTACCTCCCAAACATCTCCAATCATAGTATGTGTCCAATAAAATTGTCGAATCTTAATCTGCTTTTATAAATTCACCATCCGTTTTACTCAAGGAATCCCATTTGCTTCTTTATACTAAAACAGAAAGACAAACCATGTTTCGTGGAGATCTAGACGAAGCATCCACATTTTTACTTCTTTTGGACCTCTGAAAAAGAACTTGAATAATTTACTATTTTCTGAAGTTGTGAACATTAAGAAACAAAGGTTTTGGGAGGTTGTCAAGGTGTTTCAGTGAAAAGTCATTATTAATTATCATGGACCAAATAATGTGAGTATAATGTAAGATCTAATTATAGAATCATATAATAAGATTATGTGACAAAACATGTGATTTAACATATCTAAAATTGCGGACATGATTTTGTCACGTTCTCTAGATCCTTAAGACCCATTTGATTCGCTGAAATTATTTTGATAGAACTAAAAAGAATGAAAATGAAAAATGAGAATTTGGGTTTTTGAAGAAATGGATGGAATATTAACTAAAGTAGCTTAAATGTGCCTTTGATCACATAATTTAATTTTGGGCTTCAAGTCAATACTTCAATGGAGCGCGAGATAGTTTGTTTTTAGTAAAAATAAGAATTTTCTACATATAATACCAAAAAAAAGAAGAAGACGTCTCTATATTTTCTTGATAAGAAAAGTCTATGCCTTTAATACTAAACTTAGAAGTAGTCAAAATATGTCGCTATAAGAAGCTGGAATGCAGATTGATACTACCTCCAATCTTAATTTTAAGATCTTATTTGTAGAGATTTTATAAATAAAATCAGAGGTAATATTTGATAATGCCAGGCAATAAGTTTTGGGTATTCAAAGCTTGACGAAAGTTGACAGAGATCCTGTCTTCGGTTCTTTTTTATTTGGCCATAAATTCTGGCCATGGTTTAACGCAAATGTTAAATGCGTGTGGGAGTTTGATGCTAAGTGGCAACAAGGTTCATACACGCTTGTCTGTCCCAGGTGAATTATAGAAAAGCAAGACACTGCTATGACCAGGCATTATATCCTGCAGTTTTTTGGGTATGTGAATATTTGATTGATTTAGATTCAAGTATTGTTGAATTTAATAAAGAGCAGTTCTGTTAAAGGCTTTTTTTGTGTATTACACGGACTCGGACGCTAAATATTGCATTTAAGTAGTCAAAACTCCTTTCAATAAAATCAATGTCTATTGATACTATATTGTATAGTTTTTCAGGAGAAAATCTAACTGGACAAATTGAAAAAAAAAATTTCTCTGTGCCCAGAATGCGTTTACAAATACTACCTCCGGTCCTTAATATAAAACCCTATTTTATTTTTGTTTTGGTTATAAATATAAGACCCCAATTCATTTTATTTTTTTATATTTATATTTTTTTTTCAAAGTAGTTATTCTAACAATGATAGTTCTAGTCAATACACTTGTTTAGCAAGGATATTTTAGAAAAGACAACACCTATTTAGAACAAATAACTAACTTAATTTACTTCCTTGATCTTCTCAAATTAGTCAACTAGTTCTTATAATTAGGACCAGAGATAGAGAGATAGTATATAATAGATGAAATAAATCCAGATTTGCCAAACTCTATAAGTTAGCCACGCAAGGAATGAACAAACAGGGCAACGTTAGAGTTGGTCTGTATTGGCGGAAGGTATACAGCCAACCCTGTCTATGCCGTGTATGTTTAAAGTCGGCTCATCAACTGTATTGTAAATTGCCATGCGAGTTGGCTTGGACCACATAGTGCATCTAAGGATTTTTCAAAATTTCTTTGTTTCATTGTATTGCCTCGTCTGTAACAGCTCATTTGATTTTTAATTTGAGAATGTTTAGGATTTATTTGGTATGAGAGAAGATAAAAAAACAGAAAGAGGAGGGGAGAAAAATTTTTAATAAGCTTGATTTAAAAAATTTAAAAAGTGGGGTTAAAAACTTTTAATTAATTTTTATTACTCTTTTATATTACTTCTTCTCTTTATTAACATTTCAGAACCCCACTTCTCTAGTTTTTTAAGTAAAGCTCATTAAAATTTTTCTTTCCCTTCCCTCTTCTCCATTTTCCTTATACCAAATGATACCTTAGGTTCCCTTGAAAGTCCTTTTTAAAAGCACTTTCATACAATTGGAGATAAAATTCTTCTTACATATTTATTTTATATATTGTAAAATTATTTTTAAAATTATGGTTTGATTTTCACCCTGAACATCCTTGATTCTAAATATAAGATTCTAATCTACTTTGTCTCTCATATTTATTTATTTATTTTTAAATTTTTGTAATAGCTGCACATTTGCACGTGTTAAAAATTTCATCAAATGGTAATTCTAGCTAATATAGTTGATTAACAAGGATATTTATAAAAAAAATAACACATATTTATTAAAAATAACTAATTTAATTAATTTTTTGAATATACTCATATTAGTGAACTAGTTTTTATATTAAAAACCGATAGTAACAAAAATGGATGAGCTTAATTAACCTTTGATTGATTAACTCTGTCTTGTTAATGAAACCAGAATTGAAGCTAAACAGAAACGTGGGTGGGACACACAAACTGAGGAGGTTGAAAGGGAAGTAGACCGAATTAGATGCACAGCACACATAAGACCACCAGAACACAGAGGTGACTACTCATACCCCGCCGGCAAAAAGGGTCCGTCCTCACCAATAATCAAGCGGTGAATATTGCATTTTGCATTAATATTCTGCTCTGCCATCCACCCTTAAATATTTACCATGTATCAGGTCCTTTTATCACAAGGCATTAAGAAAAAGCAGTCAGAACTAGTTAAATGTAATTTTTTTTTAACAAATTTTCAAACTTTGATTGATGTGGTTTATTGGGTTATTTGGGGGGGGGGGAGAGGATGGATGAACAAAAAGAGACCAGAGCATTTCTTTTTAAATGATTTACAAGTGTTTTATTAAAATTCTTCTTAAAGACGCTCTGTAACAAGGACAGGAGCAAGTATATGTTAAAAACTAGTGGTGATCAATATGGTGTTATAAATAAAACAGGCGGGAGTGATATATGTATTGGGCATGATCCCCACATAAACAAGTAGCAAAGCTGTGTGGGATCCCCAACCCCACAAAATTTATAATTTGAGAAGTGCTTTAACTACATGCATGCATAGTTTAAAAGCAAAAAAAAAAAAAAAAAGAAGGGTAAACATGTAGAAATGGGAAGTGGAAATAAGAAAAGATGAAGGGGTAGGGCAGGGAGGGAGGCCGATCAAGTTGGCGTCATCCTAAGAACGAGGGGGACACATGAAAGCAATGATGAAAAAGAGAAGACGGGAAAATGGCAAAAACAGAGTACCCGTTTGGACTGAGCCAGAGCCCACTCTGCAGTTGAAGCCTTCCCTGCTACCTCCCAAATTAAACCCCCCCCCTCCCCGGTCATATTCCTAACAATTAATCCAACATATTGTTACTTAATCGCATGTACTTTATTAATCACCGACCCATAATGATATACTTGGCAATTAAGATCACCCTCCCCTTTTATAGAATGTTTTTAGGACCATATTCCTGTAGAGGGGTCGTTGCTAGTGTCCTTGAAATAGCATCATTTTCTGATGATGATGAGACGAACTTGATTGGGGGGCGGTCAGGAATCAGGAACACTGATGTATAGGGCTAAAATAGCATCCCTGTTTGTGATGGGCGCAGTAATAATCATAATTTGGCTGAAACGCAGCCAATAATTTAGGCTCTCCATTACATCATTCTCTCACGCATACTTCCAACTTAAACAGAGACCCTTACTTATCCTCTTACCCTCCCCCTCCTTCCCCCAGTTTTGTCTCTTCCTCTCCTGTCTGTGACTTTCCATTTCCCAAACACCCACTGCCATAACCCCCCCCCCCCAATTATTTTTCTTCCCCATCCCTTTCGTTGCTTTCCATTATATTCTCAGGATAAGCCTATTCTTCATAACTTTTACTATATCACACGTATATTCAAATTAATCCTGGTTAGATGATTTGGCGTCCTTCCATGTTTATTATTTAAAATGGAATATTAGATGCACAGTTCTTTCACACCTCTGGTAATTCGTCTGGATCGAAACTGACTGAAATTTTATGGGCGTGTGTTCTTAAATAAGATAAAGAAATTGAATATCGCCCTTCCTTCAACAACAGCAAATATTATTAGTTATTAATTACTGATTAAGTGGATGGATTTTTTTGGGGTAGAAAGTGGATCGATTATTCAAATTTCATGGATTATGGCATCTCCTAAAAAAAAACTGCGGTACGTGACCCGTGCGATGCTATCTAAAAATAATTAATTAACAAGAGTCATTGTTTATTATTTATTTAAATGACAAGTTTATAATTATTAATTACTCAATTAATTTTTTTTTGGGAAATAGATTTTTTTTCCCCAGCGATTTTGGGGAATAGAATTACTCTATATTTTGACCCGAAACAAAAAGGTCATTTTTTTGGCCAAAAAAACCAAGTAAAAAGTTGTTGATTACTGATGATTGGGGAGGAGGCGAGCGCCTCGCGGCGGTTATTAAGTACACCAGGTTCCACCGGCTCTCTCTAAACACGCGTCGCTCTTTAATAGGCTTCTTCCTTACACACTAATCCGCCCCGCTTCGACCTTATAAAACTCATCCTCAACTTCACACCCACAACACATCGGCACTGCACCTGCAAATCTACCCCCACAGAAACAATCACACCCACCATTCTTCTTCCTTCGTCCTGCCACTGATTACGCTTGTTGCCTTCTGGTTATGATAGCTTCCGGTCGCCGTCATATTCAGAGCCGAAGCTCTTCTTCACAAGTCGGCTTCCCGCGGCTTCGATTTGTTCGTTACCGCCGATTGAGGTGACCCAATCACACCTCGCAGTTTCTCTCTCTACTCTCATCAACCTAGCCTCTTTTTCTTGGTCACCGTTTAATTACTTCCAATGCCTACCTCCAAAAACAACCGCACCGGCCAGATTGAGAGTCACCGGAGAGGAACGTTAGGTGACAAATCGTCTTCGTTTCACGGCCACAGCGAGGCGACCGCGGCGATGTCCTCTCAGCTTCGCCGACCAAAGACTGTACCGGACCTCATCTCACATAGAAGGCTCCCCGGATCGCCCCCGGATGCAGGACTGCCCCGGCAACCGCCGAAGCTGCTGCTTCACGTGACTTTTCTAGGCAGCCTGGGACCGGTTAAGGTCGTGATGACGCCAGATTCTAAAGTGGGTGATTTGGTGGCGGCGTCGGTCCGACAGTACCTGAAAGAAGGTCGCCGGCCGATCTTGCCCTCCACCGACCCCTCCGCCTTTGACCTCCATTATTCGCAGTTCAGCTTAGAAAGTGAGTCTCGCGATAAGAATCTCTCTCTCATTGGGTTTTTTAAGCGTTATTTCATATGGTTTCATTAATTCAGAGTCTCATACTGAAGAATTCTCATGCTTAAAAGAGAAAAGGGGACGTATTTAAATTTCTTCAATACTATCTGTCGTCTTAGTTTACTTTTTAACGTACTTGAAATATTTTGATGTATATGAATCCTTTTTTTACTTTTTTAGAAATTAATAATTTATTATTTTTAAAACTAAAAATCATCGCTGGCGTGCATGTAAATTAAAGGTTTTCGGATTTGTGCATCTTTTCGTGTGAAATTAAAATTTGAGATGAGGGGATATGAGGCGATTTAATTATGGTTCTGATATGGCGTGTGGGTGCAGGCGTGGACAGAGAGGAGAAGGTGATGGAGCTCGGGTCAAGGAATTTTTTGCTGTGCCCGAGAAAGCAGAAGTCGGAGACGGCGGAGGGAGGCGCCGGGGAAGGCGGAAGCATGACGACGGCGGTAGGACGGTGTTCGAAGCAGGCGGAGAAAGTAGGCAAGAGTGGGTTCGCCTGGCTCAAGTTCTTGGATTTCATGCTGTGAGATGAATTGGGTTCGTTTCAACTGGCCAGCAACCTCTGTTCTGGTCAGCGACAATTGTTCTGTACATATAGGTCCCATATGAAGCTGTTGGGAAAATGCAGGGAGCAATTACCCTGCACGTGATTTAATATTTGTTCGTCCCTCTGTTTCTAATATGTCCATTCGTCCTTGTCAAGAAATTTGATTACAGTTCATGCAACTTGATGAGTCTTTGCCTTCCCTTTTATTACTGCGAGTTTGAATCACGCAATCAGACGGGGAATTAAAAGGTGTTTAATTAGAAAATGACGTTGTGGTTGTGCCGCGCAATCAGACGGGGAAGTTATGCGGGAAACATCGCTTCGCTTTTTCACCAAATTCCACGCGGATGTATATGGTGCCCTTTATCTTTCATCTTTCACACCTCTGTAACTCAGTGCCAAATGCCAATGGGAGAAAGGAGCCAAAGAGACCATATGGCCCTTCATTTCGTCAAATCATCAGCCCAGTCACTATTCACTTCCTTCAAATCAACTGACCCACCATTTTTCTTTTCTTTTCTTCTGGGATGAAAACCGAGAGTACAGAGTCTGATCTCCCCGTGAAACCTATTGCCTTGATCATACAAGATCTCATATCCCATTAAACATATTGCCTTTGTTTCCTAGTTAGTTCTGCTACTCTTTTGAGGGACACAGTACGTTTTGATGCTGTGTAATTCAGACCCCATCTCTTCCTTTTACCAAAACGAAAACGGTTCTCAGTCTGATAAATTGCAAATTTTCTTGGAGTGCCAGTGGCAATTTTTATTGAAAAAATAAACGTGGAGATTTCCAGAAACATGAATATTGTGGACGATCCAAAAGGTGGTCCCAGGCTCTGAGCTCAGCTCATTAAACTTGGCACTGTCTTCGCCTCGAATTATTGCATTCCTCCTCGTCAGCGTCCCTCGGTCCAAGTATCAGCCCCAAGCCCAGCACCGTCCAGAAGCTTATCCCTCTCGCCCACCATTTCATACCTACAAAACAATACTATTACTTAAAAAATTTCTGCTTTTTTCAATTATTCTGTGGTGAATGCGTGAAAGTCAGTTTCATTAATTTTCAGTATTTTCTAATAACCTGCTAAAATTTCACGTGTCAAACATAGCTAGCAAGAAAAGTTTATATGGATACCAAGCTCATGGAGTTCCGTTCAAGAGCTTTCTTCATTCTCTGCTGTCTACATTGGTTTCTGTTCTTGCCACGAGGAATCCTGGGCGATGAGGGCGATGGGGCCCGGGGCGGACAGTGATGAGGAAACAACGAACAAAATATGAAAGATTGCTCAAAAATTTGTATGCAACATTTTTTTTTTGGGTCTACTTTTGTTGTTCCCCTCACAGAAGGCCTCACGTAAAGACGAGGAAGGCCCAATCTCGTGTTCTTTGGAAGCTCAAGAGGAATCCAAACCCAAACAGGCAGAAAGAATATGGTGGTTGTAACTAACGGAGGTTGGTCCAAGTGAAAAACGGCTTGGTACTGTTTAAGTGAGGTCTTGAATTCGAGCCTTAGTATATGCAGAAATTCTTGTTGGGAGACTCAGCCACCACAATCAGGTGCGCGACGCGGGTTGGATCCAGATGTAGTCGGAGCAAAGCTCCGATGAACTGGGTGGGCAACAAAAAAAAATGGTGATTGTAAACCAAAAAAAGTTTGTACCAAAAAAAATTTATATAAATTAATAGGATCCTTGAATTAATAACATACAATGATTCTTTTTATTAAACATACAAAACATAATCTTTATGGATAATTATATGATTTTACTTACATCACACGCACACACTATAAACTACACAATTCATGAAGAATTATATATTATAATATTCTAATAAATAAAATAATTACAAACACATAAAAATTTCCATCTCTAATCCTTCTTATGACTTTACGTTTTGAGCCCTTTCCCAAACCTTTTTTTATTAAAAAAAAATTGCTGGTGTGTGTGCATGTAAGTACAAAAAACCCTAGAAGGCGGCAATACAATTATAAAAGCCTGAATCAGCTGTTTGCAATCGTGTATTTGCACTTTGCCAGGTTCGGTCCGAAAACCCTATTCGTCCTCGAATCATTTCCTTTTTACTGCAATGGAGTTCTGGGGTGAGATTCACCTTCATCCTCGCTTATTTTCTCGGAAATGTTTGCGTGAAAATGTTCTAGTATTCCTTGTCCCATTTTTAATGTTTCATCCTCTATCTGATTATTTATTCTTGTCTCTTATAAATTCATTACTGATTATCCTTGGAGCGAACCGGGATTCTTCTGCTCTTGCGTTGCCCGACGTATAGTATCATACCCCTCTCGACCCATTGTTCTGTCGACTTGCGTGATCATCTATTCACTTCATCGTTTTTTTTTGTTGTCGAAAATGTGGTTTCTTCTCTGGGTTTGTTCGTTTGGTGTATTCTTTCCGATTTTATTCGGAATATTCATTTTACCAGTAATTTGAGTACGAATGCTGTGGGTGGTTGACACTTTTCCTTGATAAGCTTTGTCTCCCCGACGTTGTGGTTAGTGTTTCCCTTGGGCTATGTTTTATGGAGAGTGAAGTGGAAGTGTCACTAAGGCTCCGTTTGGGTGACACCCCAAACCATGGTTTGGGGACCCAAACCATGGTTTGGGTGATAAGTCACCCAAACACCCCCTCCAAAAACCAAAACCATGGTTTTGGGTCAAAACCATGGTTTTGACTCCAAAACCATGGTTTTGGAAAAAGCAAAATTTTTTTGCTTTTGGAGAAAAAGGGAGAGTGTGAGGGCCTATATGATATGTATCTTGTTATTTTTTTTATAAACATATTTTTTATAATATATTTAATCTTATATTTTATAAATATATATACACATTAATTATTTATTAATTATATTGTCTTATGTATTATTAATTATGTTGGTAAAAAACATATTATTAATAATTTTATTCCTTCAAATTAAAATATATCATAAAATCTATTTTTTCTGTAATTATCATATTAACTTATGTCTTTTTTTTAGTAATTTGTATATATAAAAAATGCTTCTGATAACAACTATCCAAACACTCTCACTTCTCAGAATCACTTTTTTACAAAATCTATTCTTCACAGAATCTATTTTTCCCAGAATCTATTCTTCAGAATCACTTTTCCAAACCACGGTTTGGTTTCATCCAAACACACCCTAAATGAATTTTGCTTAATGGATTAGGTTCTGTGTTCGAATGTGTAATGAGGAAAGAAATAGAGGTTCCCTTCCAGTGTCAACATTGTTTGGTAACTGCAATGTTAGCTAATACAATATTCCTTTTTTTTTTTTTTTTAAATTTTGGCAATAGGCGTTGAGGTCAAGGGTGGGACACCTGTTGAAGTAGACCCAGATGAGTTTGGTAAATGCATACACCTGTCTCAGGTGAGAATTTTTATTGCTTGCTATTCTGTTTGCCACATTTACTAATTTCATGTTTTTACTATCGATGCAAAATCTCTAATCTATCTCTTTGCAGGCTGCTCTTGGTGAGGCAAAGAATAAATCAAGTGAACCTGTGATCATTTATCTGAAGTTTGATGACCAGAAGCTTGTTTTAGGAACCCTTTCCCCAGAGAAATTCCCTCAACTATCTTTTGATTTGGTTCTAGAGAAAAAGTTTGAGCTCTCTCACAATTGGAAAAATGGAAGTGTTTATTTCTGTGGTTACAAAGCCGAATTACCAGGATATCCTTTGTAGTTGTATCAACTAGTTGCCAACTAATTTTTGTCGTTAGGATTTTCCTCCGGTAGTGATGGCGATTTTATGCTGATATTAAAGCAAGCTGATTTAATGAATCATAATTGCGCAATGCTTAACATGTTCTTCAACTTTAATATTTCCTTAACATTTGATTGATTTCCGGTAGCACGGAGATGGATGAGGAACTGACTGGTGAGGCTTAAAACTTATTTCTTTGTTTTTTTTTGTTTGGTCTTGGAATATGATAGTTGTTTACTCTTGCGTTTTGTGTCACATGACCAGACAGTGAAGATGATGTGGGTAACCCAGTGCTGACCAGAGAGAATGGTATTATTGCTTCTTGAATCTTAAATTCTTGTTGGCAAATGTGTTGCTTGAACAAGATTCGTGTAGGTTATTTGGCTGATTAATAATTGTTTTTATTTAGCAAAACTTGATATAAAGCCTGAAGTAGCAAAGGCTGCTGCATCTAAAAGTAATGATGTTAAGCCTGCCGATTCAAAAAAGCAAGTCAAGGTTGTGGATCCAAAGAAAGATGAAGATGAATCAGATGATGAAGAGGATGATGATGAAGATGACGAAGATGATGAAGATGACAGTTCTGATGAGGTACTTTAGTGGTTGTGATATTTTCATACTTCACTGTAAATGTAGATTATTCTTATGGATGTAATCCTTTGCAAAGGTTGAAGGCAGTTTGACTTGGTAGGCTTTAGGGGTGTATTTCATCTGCCCCATATTCAGAAACTGGTGAAACAATAGTTTTCAGAAAGTGCTTTTGGGAGTTTTACTCTAGTTACGGTTAAACTTGTTCTTTGAGGTTCAAAGACTAGAAAGTTTGGCTTTTCATGCCATACGCCCCCCCCTCCAAAAGAACAACCCAAAAAAAAAAAGAAAAAAAGAAAAGAAAAAAAACGAAGGGTTTATTCACATACAACATGCATATAACATGTGCCTGTGTAATGTTGTTGTAGGATATTTTGGGTGGTGATGTTGATGGTAGTGACGAGAGTGAGAGTGATGAAGATGATGATGAAACCCCTCCTAAGAAGGTAAGGGCCGTGCGTTGGTATTATCTTTGTTGGTTAGTTGGTCTGCAATTCATGACCTTAGTAATTTTTCTTGAAGGTCGATCATGCCAAGAAGAGACCTAATGAATCTGCGCTGAAAACTCCTGTTCCTGCGAAGAAAGCAAAAGCTGCTACCCCTCAAAAGACTGGTAAGGCTTTCTTAGTATGCATAGATATTTAGGAACTTCGAAGCTGAGGTAGGTCATTACCAACAAGGAGAGTCATGGAGGCTATCTGGGTTGGATTTATGTTTGAATCTGATCACATTAGGAGAGCCATTGAGGTTATCTTGGTTGGATGTGTGTATACTTCTGGTTATATTTCTTTGGTTTGTGAATATTTAACTTTTTTCCTCTAGTGCTCGGTCCTGTAAATGTCAGATAAGTTTGATGTATGCATTGAGTTTGTACTAACACAGCTCAAGTTCTTTGAACTCTGGCGGTCTTTGGTTTGGGTTGACTTGCAAGTTTCTAGAAGGTGAGGCGAGTAGAGTAGTCAAAGGCGAAAGACTCCCTTATGACACTAGTCCTATGTAGCTCCTTTAGGTGAGAAGTATCTCTCAACTGTAGCAATAAAACGATATACAAATAGAGAATATGGAAATTCAAACATTGTCATATGTAGTCAACATTCATTAACTGATAAAGCTTGTTGGAAAGTGAAATTTCAGATAAAATGTCATAATTATTCAGAGAGATCTGAGTTTGTCCTTAAAAGGATCTGGCGGCACTAAATTACAGATGATAATTTTTATGCATAAATAAGTTGAATAATTTGTTCTTTTAAGAGTTGTTTTTTCTTCTTCTTCTTCTTCTTCTTTTTTTTTTTTTTGGGAATAACAAAGTAGATACACCTCTGTAGAGATTTAGGGCTAATACTGAACCACGCAGAAACAGAAGCAGATGTTCTTTTAGATTTTTTCCCCCCCCCCTATTTTCAGTTATTGCAAGTTTCCATTGCATCTGAAATTCGGTGGGCTCATATTTTGAGTATGCTTTCAGTATGAAGTCTCTATTTGCTCAAACCTTCCTGCTTCCTCCTTCCCCAAACTTTTTTTTTACCAAAAGAAAAAATACTTTAATATTTTTAATAACTTCTCTCTGCACATCTTCATTGACTCAGCAGTCATCAACTTGATTATCACTAGTTTCAACTTCCAATGCAGTGCCTTAAAAATGGTTGAAAGGGTGAAAAATAAGATTCGAGTTTTTATTAAGGTGCCTTGGGTAGCACCTCACGTCCCTATCAAGTTGAAAAGCATTTAAATTGACTGACTGGTAGTGGCAGGAAGTGCTGTCTGCTTAAGATGTTACAGATGTAAATATTTGTTCTAGCTCCTCTCTTTATCCCTTTAGTTTAGGTTTTGGTGTCTTGCATTGGAGTAGAGTGGTTATTAATAGAATATTGCCGGGTGACATGGAATGAAAGGCTTTTATATGGGTTCAAAGATGGAGTGGAATTTTATTAAAGATGGAAATTCCATACATCCCCTCCATCACCTTTTGGTGTTGGCAGTGGTGGTGGAGACTGGAGAGAGATGGAAATTGGCTTGTGGGGTTCGAAGGAATAGGTTGGGAACCCACCCCATCTCCTTATATGTCTGTTTTTAGGTTTTTTTCCCCCCTATGCCTTGAAATTATCAAAGCTCATGCCGATATCCTGGTCTAAATTGGTGAAGCATTATTTTGTTACATCATAAGTAGTCTTGATAGCTTGTTTGTATCTGTGTTGAATATGCATATATGTTGATAGTTAATATCTGAGTTTGTGTTGTAGATGGTAAGAAAGGCGGCCATGTAGCAACTCCTTATCCACTGAAGAAGGATGGAAAGACTCCTAAAAGCGACCAAACTCCCAAATCCGGCGGACAGTTCACCTGCAAATCCTGTAGCAAGTATGTGTTCGACCTTAACAACTCAGAATTATAGTGTTGTTGGAGTTTGCCTAATGGTTTGCTCTTTTTTCTTTTGTTATTTGTTATGTAGGACTTTTAACTCAGAAGGGGGTTTGCAACAACATTCAAAGGCTAAGCATGGGGGTCAGTGATGCTAAGTATTATCAGCTGTAAGCTAGGAATTAGGTGTTACCATGAGTGCGGTGAGGAATTAGGTTATTATCCTTGCTATTTTGGTCTCATAGTAAGCATTGGCATTGGTACGTATGAGGTTTCTAAACTTGTTTGACTGTTGGTTGACATTATTGAGCACCTAAATATTTATGTTTATAAAACTTGAATTTGAATTAGTAATACGATTAGGGGGTGTTTGGATAGAAACTAAACCATGGTTTTAAAAGTGCTTTTAGGGTTTACGAAGTAAATATGTGGAAGAGTTTGTTTCGTTTTGTGAAAAAGTGCTTTTGAGAAGTACTTTTAAAGATTGCTAAACACCTATAGGTGATTGAAGGGCAAATGAAGCTTCTAGGGAACTTCAGTTTTAAACTTTTCATGTTCTTCAATCGTCATAACATGAATGCCTAACTGCATAATTTAATGTCAATGGTAAATGAACGCCTCAATTTCTCGAAATCTTAATAGAATCTTTTGTAATCACAATTCAGTGTTTAAAAAAAAAAAATCAGACGGGAACAACAGAACCAATCGTAATTAGGATATTTGGACCCTACCTCAAAAAACATGTTTGCCTTTGGGCCGCGTTGAATTGGTGGAAGGATTTTAAAATAACTACTAAAATAAAGTCACGCTGGGTGGAGTGAAATTAAGGGGAAAATGCGATTGGGGGTGGGGAAAAAATTATAGAATTTTACTGCCAAATTTTAACGCTGATATTTACAAGAATTTTGGCTTTATTTTCACAATGGAAACCCTTCTAATCAGTCGGGGAAGAACGGTCTTGTTTCATTCTGTCCATAAATTGAAACTGAAGAAAGTAAATTGAGGCTGAGTATCTTGGGATATTAATATATTTGGTTTACCATATTATATTTGTCTGACTGAATTAGTTTTTAAAAAAGAAGTTGATATTACAAATATTTTTTTAAATTGAGTTATTACTAATAGGTCGTTCTGAAAAAACTCGTACAAAATATATTTAGCATAAGTCACACATTTCTCCACCAACATCTATAAAATTTATTTTAATACGTGATAGTTTATAAATTTTCCTCTAATATTAACGAAAACGAAAAAAATTACACCTAATTCTGTTCATATATTCTCACTTATTCTTTAAAGAAATCATTGATAATTCATTTTTAGGAGACCTATTGTTTTTTTTTTTTTGGCCCGATACCTACTGGTACTTGACCACCCTATGATTCTTCTAAAATAGTTTATATTATGAAACTACACGCAGCCTCAAATGTAAGGCGCCTATAAATAGTTTGAATCTCAAATTTTCTCTGCCCTCTCGAGAATTCCAAATGTGATCCAAATTTGATGAACATCGTTTTAGTAAAAAGACATTCAATTACCCGGAAAGTAAATTACGGGGATGTTTGGTCACTGCCACAAAACAAATTCCTCCACATGTCTATTTCATAAATTATAAAAATATTTTTAAAACCATAATTTAATTTCCATCCAAATACTTCCATACATTTTAGATCAGCAAACACTTGAACAAGTGCATTAATAGTCAGGCTCAAACAAAAAAAAAGTGATTTTATCTCAAACTCGAAGTAATGTTAAAAACAAATGCTGAATTTTGAGAGATTTGAACCTTGTAGCCCTGAAAAGATTTCATAGGAGTGCCGTACTGTGCATCAAGCTTGAATGATATCCCATGAAAAGATTTTAAAGGGGTTTTGGGGTGTTACGCCACGGACCAGATACAGTAATATTAAACTAGCATGGAAAATCCCTAGCGGAAATTCCAAGCCTCGCAAGCATTAGAATAAATGCTAAACTTCCATGAATCCTTCAAAGAGCCACCAGGTCGGCTCGTGGCTACTACAACCCCCCCCCCAAAAAAACAGTTTTTCTGGTGCACAGTGCAAGTACCCCATAAATCGAGCCTTTTGCGGGCACAAGTGCATTTCTTTTTTGGGAAAGAAAAAAGAAAAAAGAAAAAAAAAGCCGGCCAACTCAAAATGCACAAACCAGCATTCTAAAATAACAACTTGTACCAACGAGTGTTCCTGTGTTCAAAAGCCAATGTCCTCATCCCTTCTACAGACAGAAACATCAGTTCTACTTAAGCCTATAATAAGAAATGCCATATGCTGTAGCAGATAGCGCCACCGACTCCGTTACATCCTAACATGGTTCTTTGCGGTAGGAAATGCGGTTGAAGACATCCCCATATTAATAACCTGAAAGATTCCGTTAAATCATGTGCCGCCAGAGTGCTCCCGAAAACCTGTACACAAATTTCATGGTAAACTGCAATTAAATCAATGCCTCGGTCCTCAGAAGCAGGGATACCTGAACCTGCAAAACTCAATAACATAACGTAAGATAACATGGCTATTTCATTTTTTTTCCATTGAAAAAAATTACGGGTAAAACAGATCTCATGTAAATCAGAACCCCATACAGAATCATCGAAATTTGGCCGTTCAACAGTCTTCATCAGTGGCCCTGACTGTAAAACATTGCATGCATGCATCGAGTAAATAAATCAGAGTTTCATCCATGCATGGTGTAGTAGACTAGTAGTAAATCACATGCAGCCCTAACTTTCGCACTAAATGGACTAAATGTAAAAGTTGCTTTGAGAACAATAAGATCATCGGTGCTCGCAACAATCTACTTCGTCAAGAACAAACCAATGTTTTTAAGCATAAAACCGGGATGCTCTAAGATCACTGCACAGTGGGCGAAGGGCATGGAAAAAAAGAGGCAGCAAACATGGCATTGAAAAATTTCGTAAGAATGGCATGAAGGAATGATAATTGTTAGAAACAAAATTGCTGGTATGTTTTCGCTCAATCATGGCGATGGGGTTTGAAATTTTATAAGAGCAGATGGGAGAAACAATAAAAGTCTTTTCCCCCATGACTTTATGATCACATTATAGAGTCGGAATATGGGAGGGCTCAATGTTTCTGATGCTTTCCAGCACATATATTGGCCTGCTAAGGAAGACAATACAGCCAGCTTTGATGACCCATGCCCAAAAAAGACCCAAAATCTTGAAATATTTTGGGAAACTAGTCATGCATGATTCATGCAAAAACACAGAAAAAAGAAAACCCCCCTAGGCTAGGATTTGAGAAGAAATGACGTAAGACATTCCATATCACAAAACTGTTCACCTGCACCACCATGCAAAAACACAGAAAAAAGAAAACCCCCTAGGCTAGGATTTAAAAAGAAATGACGCAAGACATTCCATATCACAGAACTGTTCACCTGCACCACCTGCACAGTGGAAAATGGCTAATAAGCTTTATTTTGAGGACAGTCCACACTGAAAGTAAACTTTCTTCTAAGGCTATAGGAATATCGATAACATAAAACAACTTGGGAAGAATAAAGAGAGAACACAAACCAGGATAGCACAAATATAAATCAGTATCCATATCCTGCCTCTTGAGGAGGTTGCCGCCGCTGTTTATACTCATTACCATTTTGCAGGGGGCCAGAGTGATTGAAGCTGCTGTTGTTGTTCTCCTCAGCATTAACCTTCGTTGCATGTTCTTGCTCTTCCTTCTCCCTGTTCCATTGCTCAATTCTGGCACGTCTCTCCTCACTGCCTTCTCTTTCAGGACTGCGGTTCTTCCTCCCTCTAGGACTTCGACTGCGACTTCGTCCCCTCCGATGCCTAGGGCTTACACTCCTGTGTTTCCTGCTTCGACTTTCGTGATAATAGTCTCTGTCATCATGCCTTCTGCTATGACTATGATGCGATCGTTCCTCATGGCTTCGATGCCTGTAAGGACTCCTGCTTCTGCTTCTACTGTGCCTTCTGAGGTACCTCCCAAACAATTGGTGCCTCAACTCCCTGCAGATAACAAATTTACAAAAGAAAATGGGATTATAAGTTGAATACCACAAAGAAAAGTGTGGTGGTATTGCCCGTAACAGGAAAATCAGAGGAGATTCTCACCTGCTAATTCTTTTCAAGTGCATGAAGTTGCAATAGCCACCACGGTTGCAGGTATTCTCCTCATACTGCCGGCAGGTGGCCTCACGAAAGTCCGTTACAGGAGAAAAGTCAACAATAATTGGCCGGCCTGCACACAAAGATTGATGCTCAAAAGGGTAGAAATTTTACTTCACCTGACTATTCCGCAGCTAACGGAACGTAATTTGATATCACATTCAAAAGCACATATACCCTAGTAACCGCTATTTGAAGATAATTACATTTTGGTATACATCAAAATTAGACTACCAAATAATCAAATATGTGGAAAGAAAAACAGAGCTTAGGAAAAGAGATATAAAAACGGAAATAAGATAACTGACCAGCATAGAATCTTCCAGTTAAGTGCTTAAGCGCATTTGCAGCATGCTCTTCCTCTCTAAACTGAACGTACACATTGCCCACCTGCAAAGATACATTGAGGCACTTAGTCTCTGGAGATCAGTTGACCTGGCACAACATATCTTCTTCTTCTTCCTCCTCTATTATATTTGGAAAGGGGATCGTTAAAAGTGAAAAAGTCCTACCATATGGTCGGCGAGGTTATCACAAACATTGAGGCTTTCAATATCTCCATATTTGCTTAGTTCCTCGAATAAATCTTCATAGAATTCCTACATTTACAAGAGTTATGTAAATATAACGTCTAATCAAAATTTTGTAATATCGACTTGAGAACACAGAAAAAAGGGGCGAGGAAGGAACCTCGAAATGGTCCTGAATCTTGCGGGGGTCGATTGGTTGACCCTGGGCGTCGACGCCAGGGGTGATCATATCGGGACGCTGGTACATATTGGAGAGCAACAGAGTGGGGCTTATGCTGGGCTTGGTGTGGAGTCTCGAGCATCGATCTCCATGCCTGCAAGCTCCGATCTTGAAATAAAAAGGGCAATTCACCCTGTCTTTCTCGGTGCCAAATATGGATGCCAAGTGCTCCGCCATTGGAAACCCTAGCTCTTCGTTTCAAGAGGCAGAACCAAATTGCAGAGGATGCGCGAGGAGGCCTGTTCTGCTCGGTTTCCTTGTTGCTTTATGAAAGCTTCCTTCGAGTTCTAGATAGTTCTAAGAATTATTTACTATCATTTTATTTAAAAGCTAGACCCCTCGATCGGCCAGCTGGTTTGCCCGAGAGGTTAAGGGGGAAGACTTAAGATCTTCTGCACATAAGTGCGCGTGGGTTCGAACCCCACAGCCAGCATGATTTTGTCATTTTAATGCTTTTATGCTTTGGACTCGAATTTCATTTCATGAGGGGCCCAACTTACTTTGGCGTTGAGTTGGAAGGTTAAGCTGAGCATGTTTGGGCCCTCATCTCGCTGATTTGAAAGACTATCAGTACTTTTTTAAGGGAAAACTATCTTCTGGATCCTTCTAGTTTCAATCAAACTTGGTCAGGGTCCCTATAGTTTATTGTTTAGGATGTGAGTCCTTAAAATTGAAATCTGTTAAGTTTCAAGTCCTTCTATCAATTAACGGTGCTGAAATGGCTTAATAAGATGAAAAATGATTAGGTCAGCTGGTTGGGGCTGTCCTAGCTTAACCACGGGTCTCGAGTTCGAGCCGTGGGAATGCAGCACCCTGAGGGGCCAGAGGGCGCCGACCGAAAGGTTCCTTGCATGCCTTCGATTTGGATTAGTCTGGGGACGTTGTCACGGCTGAAAGACGCCTATTTCCCTGGGATACCAGATGGAGAAATCCAAAAAAAAAAAAAAAGATGAAAAATGATTAGGTGGCAGATGGGTTCATGGGATTACAATTTTTTTTCACAGCCACTTGGCATTTAACAAAACACACACCATCCGAGAGCATTTTTTTAATTAAAAAAATTGAAAACTGATTGGCAATCAATGAAATAATAGATGCAATTTTTTTAATACCTTCATATCAATCTTGTATTCTGATACAAAGGAAAGACTAGATTAAAAAAAAAAAAAAAGTCTGGGTTCATAGTTTCTGGCAAGTTAACGTCCAGAGATGGGAGAAAGTGCCACGTAGAATCCTGAGGTTTTATTAAGAGCTCTCTTCGCAAGATTATCAACCTCTAATAGTCCAAGTTCAGATCTTGTTTTTATTTGGTTTCGTTCCACTAATTGTTGAACATATATGAAGGGATTGGGGACTGGACTGGGAGGCCATCTTACAGGGAAGAAGAAATACATAAAATGGGTAAGGATTTGAGCAACAACTAAGTTTCTTCCATAAAGTTTTCGCTATATTCGACACCGATAGCTTAGAATCCTCAGGCGTTCTCTCAGTGGCAATCCAACGTAAGCCCAACTTAAAGCCATTGACGTCCAAGAGAATCTCACTGCCCCACTTTGTCTTCTCTCGCTTTCTCGATCTCATGGGTCATGGCCAAGCACATAAAATCTAAGCTCTTCAATTGCCAACTTCGCAATGCTTTCAAGGATCTTGATAGAGTCTACTGACTTCGTCTGTGTCTTTGAACTTCATCATATCCTCACCAATGTTGGTGAGAAGTTAAGAGCCTACTGAGTTCAATGAGTGGATTAGGGAGGTCGGTGTGGGTTCCGATAGTAAGATCTGAGTTTGTTCAGATCTAGAACGAAGGTGAGAAGAAGACAATCTGAACATTCCGTGATTTCTAGCTGCTTCTAATGCCTTCTCCCATTCCCAAATCATGAAGAGGCACCATTTTCTCTTCTTTTTTTTTTTGAAAAAAGAAAAGCTTAGGCATCGGACAAAAAAATGACAACTCATATTGTTAAGCCATGTCAGCTCGGTTAATTAATAGGAGGAGTTAAAGCTTAACAGTTTTAAATTACGAGGACCCATACTCAAAAAAATAAACTTTAGGGACCTTGACCAAGTTTGACTGAAACCATAAGGACCTAGGACACAGTTTTCCTTTTCTTCAGTTTAAAAAATCATCATAAGGCGTGTTTGGAGCCACATTACTAAGTTCTAAATTAACTTCTCCACTATAAAACGTAGCTTTTTGTGTGGATTGGCATAAAAGTCTAGTTTGGGTTGACGTTGTTACTAAACTGGCTTACGTCGTAAATGAACTTTTTTTTTCAATGCTACCATTTATTATTCTTGCCTAAAATTTTCTTTGGGTGTGTTTAGGAAGACAGTATTTGAAGGACAAAATGTGCTTCAACCTAAAATTTTTTGTTTAGAATCACAGTAGAGCATATGAACTTTTCATTCAAAAGCTTCGTAGAATAAGAAACTCAAAATTATTACTTTTCAACCCCACTGTGAAGGGAGAAAAAATGAATATGGAAAAAAAGATAAGGGTATTTAAATAGTCCCACTTAGCCCAATAGTTTAATGTTTATAAAAACGTTTTATGAAGAAAAAAATTTGACTAATAAAATTTAATTATGAGAGTTCACTCTTGGCCCAATTGATCTTCATCATTAATCTTCAATTAGGTTCTAAAACTCTGCAAAAATAAAATAATATACATGTGTACAAAATCACATTAAATGTATCTAATTAAGTGTTTTTTAGTATTTAAAAAATTTTCAATAACAATTTTATATTTACATATGTGCATTATGCAGCTCATTGTATGAGATCCTATGCTTTCGATTATTTAATATACATCGCGTTTAGTTTCTTGACATCTCATAAATGAGTTTTTTAAAATGTTCCATTTGTTTAACATTCCTGAATACTATAATTCATGAAATATAAAAAGCAAAACTTGTAACTTTTTACATGAGAATTAAACTGCAATGGTGTTACCTTAGCATATGGAATGTAAGTTACTCAATGCAATAATGCAGCTATTGTTAGATAGGCGTGATTGGTTTTGCAACAAGTAATAACAATAATCAAATGGTATAGACAACCAAATCAAAGCTTGATATAATTAACTTCAAGTTCGCCTACTTTATCCAATAGATCTATGGGCTCTAACTGACCAAACCAATGCTGATACAGGGGAGTCACTAAATAACTACAAATTCTCACAGAACAATATCTAATTAACTATAAATTCTAATGAAGCACTTCCTGAAAGGTCGCCTTTCTTGCCTCAGGTCTATGTAATGCTTTTGGTAAACACTAACAGCTGTATTTGCCTGTGATTTCTGAAAATCTTATTGGCTCTGATATCTTGTGATTATGGGGAAGAACTTTTCCTGCCAAAAATTAATTCATGGTTTGGTACATATGTTTGTTTCTAAAAGAAATAACCTCTATATGCATTTTAATTTGTAGATTCATCACATGTAGGATACAAACTTTCTCTGGTGACTCTGATAAAGAGCTTCACACAATGGTGCCAACATAACCAAATCCTACGATGGAAAAGGTTATGGTCTGAAGGAAGAGGTATACAAAATAGTTGTTCTTTCCATGCACAAAATCATAGCATCCACAAAGGAAGAGGAAGGCTGCAAACCCCAGCTCCAGTAAATTAAACCTGTTCGTGTTAAGCAATATACACAGTCAGCCTAGAGTGAGTAAAAATGTCAATCTCCAATCTCCTTATTTGGTCCCTTAATGATTAGACATCCTATCATAATCCTTTAAAAGAATAATCCGTCCTTAATATCTTTTTCACGTAAGCCTATTTAAATAACTAATGAAAATAAATGTAATAGCTTAACATAAAACTGATCTGGCCTAAAACACTTCATAATCTATAATTAAAATAGTGAGGTAGTGTGGTTATTTCGAGCAGCAGAATACGCTATTTTGACTGTTTCATTGATGATTAAATACTTATGGACCAAATCAGCTTCCCATTAAATTTTGGCATTCATCTTAAGCAGAGAAACCAACACAAGAGCAATATTGAAAAAACTAATGCTTTCTAAATGACTGAAATGAGACTGTTAAGCTATAGCGATCAAAATTAGAAAGAATCTAACTCTAAAAGGCCAAAATATTCATGTTGTTGAGAAGAAATGGCAGAACTTGACCTTTCAGCAAATTTGAGTCGAGGTTTTTTAATGGGTTTGGTGACATTTGTCTTGTTCTTAGCAGCATCTGCTTTGTTCTTATTATTCACGGAGTCTCCAAGTTTTGCAGTGACAACCCACTCATTAGCTCTTCCAGCCTCAAGCAGACCTATAAAAGTTGCCTTGGTACGATGCAGAGACATGACATTCTCAAAGAGGATCCAGTAGAATAATAAGTGAATAGACCTGCCAGAGAATTCAATTCAATAATTTAGTTGTTGAAACTTGAGACAAAAGGGCTGAACTTAAGACATAATTTGCAGCAAGTTATTATTGAGACCTTGGAGTTCCGACTGAGTTGAGGATGGTGATGATGGAAGGAATGTAAACAGCTCCCCATATTGGAACATGAACCTCAGGGACCAAAATTGTGAGGGGAAGCACCACACAATAGAAGAAGAAGGTCACCATATGGGCTATGATTTTACGTACAAAGAAGAAGCTATATATCACATACACCTTCTTCCAAAACTTCACTTTCTGCATAGTTAAATTGTTTACCATAAAAAGGAAAATCAGCAAGTTTCTTCAATTTAATCCCCATTTTGCCTCCCCACAGTATGTCATGCTACTGAGAAATCTAACCTTGTTCCTCACAATCTCCATCACCATTTTGCGGAACAGATTAGCAGGACCACAAGACCATCGATGTTGCTGAAAACGGAAGGCCCTTAAAGTACTGGGAAGCTCACTTTTTGCCTACACAGGATCCAAAATCAAAATTAACCATCAATATATACCAATCACTATACATATATACGTATATGTTTGTAGGTGTATATAATATGTGTTAAATACCTGAAGGTCACCAAGGTATAGAAACTTCCAACCTCTAAGGCTAGCACGAATAGCAAGATCCATGTCTTCCACAGTTGTTCTGTCTTTCCAACCTCCTGCTTCATTGATAGCAGCAATTCTCCAAACACCTGCGGTGCCTGCATTTATAATTCCAGAACAGGAATTGTCTTATTAATGGCCTTGACGTAAGCATGCAACGCAAAGTAGCTAAACATTAAAAATGGTTATGAATGATGTCACAGAAATGTCTACTAATGAAAAGAGGGAAAGCCAAGTGAAGTGAAATACCATTGAAACCAAAGAAGGCATGAGTAGCTGACCCGACTTCTTGCTCCACTGTGAAATGGTAATCCAGAGACATCTCTTGCATTCTTGTTAATACACATTCATCCGCATTCACTGTTCAGAAACCACACATTTATGACCTTTTTGCCCCCTTTTGTTACTATCAAAAATTATAAAAATGGAGAAGGCAAAAAAGAAAAAACTTGAGCAGAAAAGGAGCATATAAATAGTAGGACTATGTGAAGTCAAATTACTATCTTGTTCCCATGTGACTCAGAACAGTAAAATGACACGTCATCATGGAGCTGAATGGGAATTGTCGGCAAAACAAGGGTGAGGTCCACCGTTGCGCACATGGACCAGCCCACAATGTTATCAAATTCTGAAAGCACGCGGGAATGGGGCTTTGCAATTGTGGATAAGAAATGAAAGGACAATTTTGCCCCGATAGCATTGTCGCTGCAAAAGCTGTTTGGTTCGTACAAATAGGGCGGCCCACACACTCCCTTTCTCTTTCGCTCGGAATTGAAATGACCCGACTGCCCCGCAACGACCGTCGCAATTTCTGCCCGTAAGTCCGAGGATTATGCCAAATCGACAACAACGATGGGTATGACCAAGGGACCATCTCACCCACGGCAACGATGACATTGACAAGGACAATCGAGTCATTTCACCAAGTTTGTTTGAGAAAATCCATTTCAAAATAAATGCTAGCATCTAAATTATGAGTGGAGAAAAAAAAATAAAGAGACAAAGTACAAAGCCCCACCCTGTGAAAGGCGAGAGGGTTCCCACTTTGTAATTGTTACTTGTTAGTTGTTAGTGGGAAATATCTATACGCTTCAACCAAAAAAAAAAAAAAGGAAAAAAATATGTGTGCGTGTGTGTGAGAGAGAGAGAGAGCGAGTCGAGTATGCAGCAGCGTTTTGCTTGTGGAGCCCATGAGCTGCGAAGGAAACAAGCTTCCCGATCGGGGTGGTCATGGACTCATGGGGGGCTAACCAGTGGGCCCCACCCGTGATTGATGGTTTCATTATCGTGGACCTTCCATGCAGTCATATCGGCTCTTGACAAGGGGGGAAAAGTTACAATGAAGAGAAAGTTAAGTACAAAAATTACCCGAAATCGGTTTTACAAGACGAAATCCCAAATGCCATCGCCACCGACACAGTTAATTCGACGAATGAAGCAACAAGTTTATGAGTTGATAAAAAAGGGGTGATTTACTGGGCTTTGCTCAGCTTACCGAATCTCCAGCGTGCTTGAACCAAAGCCAGGTCGGGGTTGCCATCCAAGAAGGGAATGGCTCGCCGGAGAAATTCCGGCTCCGGCCGGAAGTCGGCGTCGAAAATGGCCACGTACTCGCAGTGTTTCACGTAGCTTCGCTTCAGCCCTTCTTTCAGCGCACCGGCTTTGTATCCCGTTCTGTTCTCTCTGATTTGATACGTTATGTTTATTCCTTTGCTCGCCCATCTCAGGCACTCTTGCTCCACCAGTTGCTGTAATTCCAAACTGATTTTTCAGCAAAATCCAAACCACAAACATTGCAGAGATTCCATGCGCAGAGTTTGTCAGTTTTGGGAATTTGCATGCATAAAAAATTATGATACTTGAGACTGCAACACTGCTCCAAAACCACATTCAACATATCGGAGAACGTCTCTCCCTCTTTTTTGTTCTTGTTGTCTTGGGATTTGAAACAGTAACTTGAAATGGCAAAACATTCATGACGCAACACTAAAGGATTATTCGCTTTTCTTTCTAAAGGATTTAAAGTACCTTGATAGCAGGGTCAGTAGAATCATCGAGGACTTGGATCACCAGGCGGTCAGAAGGCCATGAAAGTCCGCAGGCTGCTCCAATGGAGACCTTGTAAACCTGACCCAGGAACCACCCAATGCATAAGCCGACAAAACAAGATTTCAAAGCTTTCTCATTGAACATTGAACAATGGCATATGCCATTAATTCTAACCGCTCTCATTGCGGCGAAAGTTTTCTCCTTTCGCAGAAACAAAACAAGAAAAAGAAAACTAACAAACATGGAATACCATTAATTCTAACCTCTCTTTCATTGAACATTGGGATTTGGACAAGAACGACGGGGAAATTGGAGGACCCCAATTCAACGTCGTCTTGGATTGGCTCGTATCTGTAGCGCTGTTCTGGTTTTTTCCAGAAGAGCTTGACAAGGATGATGACGACTCCCATATACAGCCTCTCAATGAAGAGCATAAGAGACATTGTCAAGCAAATGTAGACTCCAAGGTTCAGAAGTGGCACAATCAATGGCGTTTTGACCACTTCCCATATGAGCTTAATCTGTCCGGCGATGTCGTAACTGACACTGCGGACTGAGTCCGGCATGAAGAATTTGGGTTCGGCTTCGACCATTTTGGATTTGATAATGGGGTCGGTGCTACCTGAGACAAAAACAAAAGGGAAGAAATTGCAGAAGGGAGAAGATGAAGGCCACCTCTCTCAGAAGAAAAGGTACCTTACTACAACTACCACCGCCACACAATGCTTCCCTCTCTTTTCTATCTGAGAGAAGCAGAGACAGAGCATAACAGAGGTAGGGGAGTGAGAGAAGGAGGCAGCAGATAGAGAGGGTAGGGATTAATTTATAGTCAATTTTTAGTGATAAAGTCTTTTATATCTTTTTTTTCATTTTTATTAGATTAAAATTTCATTTAGATACCCTTAAAGGTCAACTTCCCAGCATAAATCAAGTCTTAAAAACTCTGAGGTCAAAAAAGTCTTGAAATTCTCATATAAATTTCATTTTTTTCTTTTTCTTTTTCTTTTTTTGGATTTTTCATGCAGAGATGATTTATCATTTTTATAGGATATTTTAGTCTTAAAATTTTCTTTTTTTTGTTAGAAGAACATTATTTTCTTGTATTTAAATAAAATCAGCGGGTAATGGTAAGTGTGAGTAAAAACTAAGGATTCCACTTCTCTTTGTATAAAAAAAAAATTAAAAATAAATAAATTGTAACTTGGTTAGGGGACCTTCAAAATTTTCAGCTGATGCACTGAGCATAAAAGGAAAAATTGTAAAAGTGCAATCTGAGAATATTATATAATTAATAAAAATTCGTGTACCAAATCTTGAGAATTAAATTAGAGTTTCCGTAATTATGATGTTGATTGTGTTTGAGGCCTGGGTGTCTGAAAAAAGATACGGCCCCTCACTACGTAACTGCTGCCGCTTGACACTACGGCCCAGCGTGAACGATTGAGTGGCTTTTTATCTCGAGCATCACATGATCCGGGATGTTGATATTTTTTTTGGTTTGCTTGAAATCTAAAAAAGTGAGAATAAAATATCTAGAGTTAAGAAATGAGAATTATCATCACTAGCCGAAGATTTTGTCACTATGTGAACCGCTATGTCCCAAGAAAACTCATGAATGGGAGCGTAACCTGTGAAGTGTGAAAAGTTAAAAAAGAGAGAGGGAGAGAGAATGAGGTAAAAACAGGCTGACCAAGCATCAGAAGTGATGAATACTAGTAGTCATTTATTAGAAAACGGTTGGTGCGAGTCCTCGTGTTTTGGCTCCATTTATTACTCGGGAGAGCTTGTCGTCTCTCTCCCCCACACCACCCCACGGAAAGGCTGAAAGGCACGTGCTTTCTATTTATAGAGAATCCGTACATTGGTGATATCAATAAGAAGCACCCGAGGAATCACTGGGAAAGGGAGAGGACTATCTTCACGTTATCACGTAGAAACTAATTGACTGATTTAAATAAGTTAAATTAATTAGAATTTTTATTTGATAACACATTTAAAATGTGCAGCTATTATAATAACTACTTTAAAAAAATAGATAAATATAAATAACAAAATAGATTAAGATCTTATATTTAGAATCAAATTAAAAGTCAAGCTAGTTTTTATATTAAGGATTAGAGGTAGTAAATGATAAAAAATAATACTTATCTGGTCCTAAATATAAGACTCATTTTGTATTATAATGTATACTACCTCCGGTTCTTAAAATAAAAGCTAGTTGACTGACTTAAGTAGATTAAAAAAATTAGTTAAGTCTGTTATTTGTAATAAATAGGTGTTGTCTTTCTTAAAATATTATTGCTAATCAAATATATTAGTTAAAACTATCATTATTACAATAAATTTCTTTATAAAAAAAAGATAAATATTAGAGACAAAGTATATTGGTGTATTATATTTAGAATTAAAATAGAAGTAAAAAAACTCTTATATTAAGGATCAAATGTAATACTATAAAATAGGATCTACATTTATGAGAGAAAGAGTACTATGTTTAAGAAATGTGCTAATTGTTTTTTGAAATCACTTTTTTAAAATACTACAAACTACTCACTCCGTTCCTTATTATAAGAGACATTTGATGCTTATGACATGTTCCTATATATAAGAGACACTTAAAAGTTGTCTCTACTTTTTTTGTGTTGATTTCCTATTTTATCTATATTTATTATCTCCAACTCACACTCTCTCTCCCTCCCATTTCTCTTTCTTTTAATAATTTAATTATTCTCTATCATGCTCTCTCTCCTTATTAATGAGGGCATTTTTGAAAAAAAATTATACTTTTTACATATTAATTGTTCTTAACTAATTTTAACTGTTTTTTTTATCAACATACTTCGATTATTTATCTTTTATAATAAAGAACGGAGAGAGTAGTATTTTTCTCACAGAGCTTGCAGAGGGATGTGTAAGCGAGAAGATTGATTTGAACAATAATGATTACGACTGTTGATGTGGTTTTTATTAAGAAGATCTCTTCATCGCCCTACACCGGTCCCCTATTTTGCATTTTTAAAGAGAAGACATTGTTTGCATGAAAGCCTTAATTATTCTTTAATCTGCAATTGATGCTCTGGTACGACGTTAACATGCATTCATTCCCTTCCCCGGCCGCCCTCGCGAGTCATTAGGCCTTTGTGGTTGACCAGTATTGTTTAATCCGAAATTGTTGCCCAGGCAATATTAAATGAAAAAATTAAGGGAATATTACACGGGAAAACAATAATTTTACTTTTTATATACTACCTTTACTCCTTAATATAAGATCTCGTTTGACTTTTATTTTAGTCCTAAATATAAGACCCTAATCCACTTTATTTCTAATATTTATGTATTTTTTCCAAGATAGTCCTTCTAACAATAGTATATCTAACTAGTACATTTGATTAGCAGAGATATTTTAGGAAAGACAACACCTATTTATGACAAATAACTAACTTAACTTCTTTACTTAATTTTTTCAAATTAATCAACTAGCTCTTATAATTAGGACCGGAAATACTAATTTTTTAAAATAAATGTTCTCGTGCATGTATTGTGTGTGCAGTGATGATTGGAGAATATGTGCTGATTGATTTGTTCGTTGACCACAATGAAAGAGAGTGAGATGTATCTGTGGTATTAATTACTATTGAGAATTTGAATTTATGTCATAAAAAATTTGAATTTAATAAGCAATAGGTTTAATGTAAGGATATACGGGAGTTCATTTCCAACCACCCATACCTTAATTAATAACGACATTTTATATTTTATTTTGTTACACATTTATGAGGTTTTCTAATAAGTTAACGTTATTTTTTTTTAGTTCTATAATTACTTAAAAGTTTAAATTGGAATATCATGTGATAATGAAATTTTTATTTGATAAGTTGAGTATGCAATTTAACATCTAAAATACATAGGTTCTCCCCAGCCATTTTCCCTAGTTTCCATGCACACTCCTCGTTCACAAAATCAAATTAAAACAATTTACTGATTGATTTGCTTAATAAACAAAAAACTGAAAGCTTCTCTTCATGTTCAATGAACAAAGTATTGAATACACTTTATTATGTGCAACTTACAATGAACAAAAACAATCAAGATGCTCCTCTGCTAATATAAATAAACCACACATACGGAACCAAAATGAATTTAGAGGCATCCAGTTTCTCAGTCTCGTTTTTCCGGTAATTACCGAACGTATAGATAGTAGATAAAGTTTGATATATTTGTAGAATAAATTAGAGCAGAAAGTACGTAAATATACTACAACCTTTGACCACACGATCATTAATACTATCTTCGGTTCTGAATATAAAACATTATTTGACTTTTGTTTTGATCCTAAATAGAAAATCCTAATTTACTTTGTCTCTTCTATTTATCTATTTTTTTAAGATAGTTATTGTAATAGTTGTATATGTTACAGTTTCATCAAATGATAGTTCTAGCTAATACACATGGTTAATAAAAATATTTTAGAGAATACAAAACATATTTATTACAAATAACTAAGTTAACAAATTTTCTTAATGTACTCAAATGAGTGTATTAACTCTTATATTAAAAGATAAGAGGTAGTATCATTTAAAAAAAAAAGTCATATGTGATATACCTAAAGGGGAAAATAGGAAAAAGAAGAAGAACAGAAAATGGGGGTAGTTTGGCAAAATGTGACGCCCCAAAATTGATGCAATCACTGCGCGCGTGATGCCTGCCCACGAGGTTGTGCTTAGCGGGGTGCAATATGTTTTATATAATAATATTCCTTCCGAAGAAAAAATGGACTGATTTGATTAGGTTAAGGTGATCTGATTACCTCTCGTTGAAGATGGGATTGGGGATGTGAACAGTCATCCACAGAGATATGATTTGAACACATCTGACTTGTCGAGTGAGCATTGGCCGCGAATGGAGCGTGTGATTTGTCAATGCAGTGAGGAGGAGAGATAAGAAGGAGGATGTTAATATGATTGGGAGGGATAGAAAAGGAACAAGAGGGTATGGGGATGATCTGTGTGGGTTAGGACGCAACACAAGAGGGTAGGGTCAATCCCATGTGGGAGGGCTCAGTCTGAGACTTGTGTTGTGTCTGAGATAACCCCCGACAACCACGATAACAAGGCTGTTTCATTATTGATAAAGGCCAACACGTGCCCTTAAAGCCTCCTCCCTGCCCTCTACTTCCACCATATACATGTTCTCATTTCTCAGTGTGATTTTTTTTTTTAAATTTTTGTCATTTTGATCCCACACATTCTGATTATTTCTTTGTCAAAATCATGACCGCCAGGAAAGGAATAGCTTTGGTTTTTTAATCCCCCAGAGAGAAAAAAAAAAAGGTAAGAAGTTAGACTTTTTTTATGGTAGAGGTTAGTGGCATGTAACGATTGGTCTCAACTTATTTTACAGGGATTTAATGATTTATTGCCATATATAAATGAGTCAGATATTTCATTATCGTTTCATTTTTTTACAATATATTTATTAATGTAATGTCGTGCCTTCTACTAATATTTCTTTGTAAAAGGATATTATCAGAATATTAAACCGTGAATCACTTATTCCGATAGCTAGCGAGCAGTGGAAGAATATGGAGAAAAGATTTTTTTTTTTTGTTTTTACCCAAACGATATGTTGGATATATATTTAGAATGTAAACAAGAAATTACCTATAACTCTCGATTATACAATATAATTGAGTAGCTATAGTCACCGTAGTCTGTTATATGAGTATTTTCTAAAACACATATTTACTGATTATATATATATATATATATATATATATATATATATTGAGGAACAG